GACGGGGGAGGGGGCGGGTACAGCTGGCTCTGCCTCTAGATAGGCAGAGCCAGCTGTCCCTCACGCAGCTGGGCGGATCCCGTCATCTACGTCGGGATCCGCTCCGGCGTCTCAGTATGCCGCGAGCTGTAGCTCACGGTATACTGAGCATAGGGTAACGGGAGGACGCTAGTTTGTGTCCTCCCGTTACCCTAAGGAGAACTATGGGGAAAAACACTGACCCCATAGTTCTCCTTTAATTGCCATGCAAGGGCTTTAGACACCATTTTATAAGTTCTGAATAACAGTTGACATTTACAGAAGCACTCTGTACCAACTATATGGCATCATAACAAGAAATTTAATATCCATGGTTAAACAAGTACAATGTGTCAAGCAGTCAACATGCCTAAAATGAGAAATACTGGGTCTGTACTAAGCCAAAGCAGTTTTTTTTTTAAACATTACAATTATGGTGTTGGGTGGAAAAAGGCCCTAATCCAGACTTAGACATAAGTTGAGGCCCCAACTGCAGCCAGAGCCTTGGAAGCAATGGATGCCACATGAAGGGACAATGACTGAAGTAAGTCAGTTAAGTAAGCCAGCTGCTTTGCCCTGTATAGGCAAAAAAAAAACTTCTTTTAGCTGCGACAGATAAAAACTGAACATACATGTTCCCATTTAAGGCTCTTCTAAAGCGGATTAAACATCTGGGGCGAAAAGCAAAGGCAAGGGTCAAATGGGGGGAGAGAATTATGTTGTACCTCAACAGATAATACCATCTACAATGATTACCCGAAGACCTCTTTAGCCCACAGGGATTCTTTTTAAAAGGTGAAAATGTATGATTTAGATTTATTTTTTAACTACAAAAAGGTAAAAAACAAAAAAATAAACTCCAAATACACCTTCACAGAAAACACACTATTGGCTGCTTTAAATACTTAAAAGGCAAGTGCAGGTCCCACCTACACAAATTTTACTTTGTAGGATCACAACCAGTCTTTCTACAGTGGCAGAAAGTATTATATAAATAAAACTGCTCAGCCACATGACAAGCAGTCTAAAAATACCCTGCAAATTGAAAGCTCTCATCTCAGTCTAGGTTCACACCTGCACTACACCGCACGACACTTGGGACGCACGTCCCGGGATCGCATGGTCCTGCACAATGCATTGTGCAGGCTCATGCAATCCCGGGACGCGCGTGCGATACACAACGCTCGGCTGCACGGGCAGAATCCTGGCGGGAAACCACGCGATCCGCCTGGCGCGACTGGGGTGCCATTATAAAATAATGGCACCCACATCGCGATTGGTTCACACCTTAGCGACTCCTGACCGCACAGCAATCCGAGGTGAGGTGTCGCCTAGGATCTAGTATCCACACTACCATCCTGCAGATAAACAATGTGTAGCCAATTCACATAGTGTAATCTGTACACAGATCACCTGCATAAAGGGAGCACTTGTTCCAGTTTAACCTTGCGATCATGTCTATGATTAACAGCCACTGATTAAAGGCAGGCAGGAGAAGAGAGCTTCACGACTACTGGCCAATAAAGACCGATTGGCTGAATAAATAAAAACCACAGGAACATGACACGAATAACATATACGAGTAAATAAGTGCCTGCTCCTTCATTATGTCATTTGGATTGGTGGCGTTAAAGAAAATATGTGATAAGAGAAACAAAAGAAGCTTTCGCTGACTTCCTCTGAAAATTCTGGCTGTGCTCATGACGACTTTGATCACGATAGCAAAAAGGAGAGTAACTGTTATACATATAGCAAATCGCTATTACACAACTGTCACCCAGTATTCAAACATTTTTCCAATAAGTCCAATTCGAAAAATGTGTGACTCATGGGTAAAAGCTGCATGAATTTTGTGTGAAAAGATTGATTAGACCCCCAAGTGTAGACCACAGCACTTCACACAAGGCACTTTATTTACAAAAAAAAAAAAAACACTGAATGATTTTTGCCTTTTATATCTGCCTCAAGTTAAGCTTAGAGGGGGGAAAAAAACAAAAGAAAAAAAAACCCAAGCATATGAATGAGGTATATTATGATGCTGTACATGTCAACTACAAAAAGGTTAGAACAAACTACCCAGGACACATGAAATGTCACAACTGCTTTGATGTCTCATTCATGCTAATCAATAACAATTTGTCAACTGCTGCACTGCGCAGTCACTAGCGTCTCAGATTCCATGATTAGTGCTGGGATGCGTTTGCAAGTCTAGAATAACTCTGCAATGAGAATATCCTGTTCTTTAACCTTTTGCCGTCCGCCCGTAGTAGAAAAACGGACACGCACGGGCAGAAAAGGCCCGATCAGTGCACACACCCGTTACCGGGTGTTACACATATAGGCGATCAGCGGGTCCATAGCCCGCCGATCGCCTATATGTGCTCGTTTGCCCCCCCCTGACCCCTCACCTTGATTCCCGGGATCCGCTGCCCCATCTTGGATCCCGGGACCGGCTCCGAGGGCGTCAGGAGGAGGAGGACGGGAGATCAGCTCCTTGCTGATCCCCGTCCGGGCTGTGAATGCAGAAGTGATGTGTATTACATCACTTCCGCATTCACCTGTCAGTCATCTGGAGAGAGAAGAAGCTGATAAAGCAGATCTCTGCTTCATCAGCTTCTTTTGGGGTCCACAGGTGATATTAGGGGTCCTAGAGACCCCTAATATCTCCATATCGCTCCAAGTATGCTATGGTGATGCTTCAGCTCCAATGCAGGGATGTGGAACAAACAGATAAGGAATTCTGACCCTTTTACCTCAAGCTTTGGCAGCATGCTTGCCCTAGGTCTGTCACTCAAGACAGGGTCACTTTAAGAGAAATGGGTGAAGTTCGTCTCAAGCTGGCCAATATTCTTCAAGCGAAACCATGAATTATTAGTTTGAAGGCACAGCCTGCCATTAGTTATAGGATCAACAGCACCGGAGTCTGGAAACAATGCGTGCAGGCTAACAAGTGCACCAATGTTATTGCAGAGGCACTTAGACGGGCAGGGGTTCTTTGCAAGAAAGTTTGCTTGATCTTACTTAGAAACCTACTTCTAAGTTCAAAGATCAACCCTAAACATCTTACCCTAGACCAAACATCTGCACGACTTGGATTTTCCTAGTACATAAACACAAAAGGCTTTAAAAGCAACCCTGTTGCTAGAATAGGTGGAGTAGAGAAACCCTATAAAATGAAAAATCGGAATACTTACCTCTCCAGCAGTTGGTAAGCAAAACCTTTTCTCAATTTAGGAGCTTGGGGAACTTCTGGGTGTGATACCTTGTGTACCCCAGTCTGTGTTTTGTTTTCTCCGCTGGCCCCCATGTCACTGCAGGACACAGTAATGACATTGGAGCCAGTGTCTGGAACCACAGCTCCAGCAAGGGACATGCTATCCAATGTGTGGAAATGTTGGATAGCAATACAACCAGAAATTTCACTCACTGCCTACTGGAGAGGTATTTCCTATTCTCCCCTATACAGTGTGACTCAGTTCACTTGGGTTATAAAAAAAAAAAACAAACAAACACAAGAGGGTCACTAAGGATATGGAGATCAAAAGCAGGAAATCTACAGTGTCTTAGTATGAATGTCTTCTCAATGTCTTAACATAGGTGTTGCTCTATAAAACACCGGAGTTGTTAAACGGCTGTGTAACTGAAGGGTAACTGAAGGGTTCACTTCTTTTAACACGATTGTATTTCAACTCTTTTTCCCACAGCAACATTTCTGGGCCCTTTGTAGCACCAAAACCTTGTGTGTACTCCAAATGTTTGATGCTTTCACTTTGCTTTGAAAGAAAAAAAACAAAAAACAAAACTTTTGTTAAAAGGAAAAGTAAACTCTCCCTTCTACCAACAAACCTCAGACCTTATTGATTTTTTTTATAAATGTATTCTAAAAGGCCAGTATGGAAATATTTGCCATCTTAAAGAGGATATGCCCCTGCTCTTCCTGAAGCCAGCACCATTTTAGCGCTTTCTTCCTTTGTCTATACTTCGCCCAAAAATGATATCTTCTAAAAGTACAGCACACGCACAGAGGAACAGAGCTACACCTTGGTGAAGCAAATGGTTTATCATGTCATAGCAAGTATCGATGCAGGGATCTGAGTCTGACCCTTTCCTTTTTAAGATGGCAAATATTTCCATACTGGCCTTTTAGAATACATTTATAAAAAAAAATCAATAAGGCCTGACGTCATCCCGAGTTCTGTGAAGATACCAGCCTGGTGAAGATGATGGAAAGCAATCGGAGCTGCGTAGCTTTGCAAGTCTACTGCCAAAACTCCACAAGGGGAGGGCTTTGGAAGGACATAAAAGTATTGATAGCATGTATATATAGGGAACTGTTATTTTTGGAAAAGTTCCAGACAAGAGTTCCCTTTTTATGCCTTTTTGTGTATGGGTGTCTAAAAGTGTATAACACGCAATAGCATTGTGGGAAGCAACCATGATGATCAAAGTGCATCACTTTCCATACGACAAGATAAACCAAGGCTGTTCACTGTAATTTGTCTATTACAGTACATTACTATCCGCGTGATGCGCCTTAAAAAACAATAACATTTTAATGGACTAAAGATTCAGTGATCTGTTAACCTTCATATTAAAAAAAACGCACACATACATACACATATATGCCCTGCACTATGCACATACTGTTCTCATTTAGGCTGGAGTCACATCTTTGCATTATTTTGAAAACGCATCTCAATTAATGTGAGATATTATCAAAACATACACCGGTGTGTCATAACGCATGTAGTATGTTTTGATCTGCATTCACATGCAATACACTGCAACACATGTTGAAAATGCACATTAACGACCACTGACACGTATTTTGATATGCTTCCATTTATTTCTATTTATTATGGGAACTGCATCTGCGGAAAATGCATAGTTGTGAATCCAGCCTCAAAAGTTGTATATTTCACCAGAGAGCAAAGAAATATATAAACATATTTGTAAAATAAAGAACAAAAAATTGTGCTTACTTCTTATTAAGAACAGGTTTCTGTTGCTGACCCCGGGTTACTTTCACCCAAGATGACATAGTAAAGAGCCTGGAGAGAAAAAAAAAAACAGTTGATTAATTTAATACATGCATAACAATTATATTTCAAAATGAAAAACACAAGATTTTTGTAATTTGTACTCACTGTAAAGTCTGCTTCTTGAAGTTCTTTAACCCCTTCATGACTGAGGCCCTTTTTTCATTTTTTGTACCCATGTTATATTCCAAATTTTAGGCCTGAAAACATGAGTTGATTACCTGATAACTCTGTTTCCAGGAATCTTCCAGGACAGCCATTGAGATATAGGCACGCAAGATGAGTAATGACCCCAGACAAATGGTTTATTCTGTTGCCTACAGGAACAGTAGGACACCAACAACAACAAAAAAAGCTGTTGGCCAGCCAAGTATAACCTCTCCAATTCCCATAATGCTTCAGTTTTTAGAAAAGCAGTATCAGGAGTAGAATATATAAACACAGAGGGGTAGAACCTATGTCCCTAATGGACAGAATCAAACAGGTCTAGTAGAATGCCCCTTGGAATTTAATCTTTGGAGAACTATGAGGTGAATTACACTTATCCCCATAGTTAGAGCCGACATTGAAACTGTCACATGTCGGCTCTATTGATCGGGAAGTGACTGCAAACATACCGCCACTCGCTCACTTCCCGATCATCTCCCTGCAGAAGCGGTGACTGTCAGTAGGGATCCCGCCCCCCCTCCTTCATGAACTGACTGGAGGGATGGACTAGGGAGGTGGCGGCCACAGCTGCTCTGCCTCTAGATAGGTAGAGTTTACTCTCAGACAGCTGGGTGGATCTAAACAGTACTGGCAGGATCCGACCTGGCTGTGGAGCTCTCAGTATATAGCGGGCAATAGCTATATGTCCTCCCGTGACCCTAAAGAGAACTATGGGGGGGGGTAGATTTGAGAAAGCTGATTTAATGACCAGTCAAATGTCTTCAAGAAAAATAGTAGTCACAGTAGTCAATAGAGGTTGTACAAGCAGAACTATTTGAGCAACACCTTGTACGAGCAAACACCTTGTACTAAGGCAGTTACTAGGGAATAAGAAGTAGTCTTTGGGACAAGATTGCAAGAGCCAAAATGTGCCCCTTGATGGTACACTCAGGGCATCTGTCAGGAGTTTGATAAGCTGGGGTGCCCCCACAATAAAAGCCCAGTGTAATAATATATTTAAAAGGATCAACATGATGAAACGGCAACCACATTTTGGGGTTCCGCAAAATCCCCTTTTATCAGGGCTTCATAGACTGTTACATAGTTCCTCCCAGGAGTGTTTGGGCTCAAAGAAAACACATAGTGATAGATTGAAATGTCTAGAGAAGGGAAAATATTCAGGTCTCCTGTAGATATAAATATCTAAAAACACAATCTAAGATATAAAAAGAAGGGACGCACCGATACCGAGTATTTGGGCGAGTACTCGTACTTGCCCAAACTCTCAGATACCGGTACTGCCGGTCAGAGGTAGAACTACCTCTGACCGGCAGTGCAGAGGGAGCATGGAGCAGGCTTCCTTCACAATCAGGAAACCGGGTGGTGGGTTATAGCCTGCCTCCCAACTTGCTGATTGGTTAGGAAGCCAGGCTGCCTAGCAACATGTGAAGTCAGCTTCATAGCCAATCAGGAAGCCAGATGACACTTCATAAAATAAAGACTGGTTATCTTTATTGCCACTGAGAGGCCATATGATGGATACACACACCGTGCGAATGATGAGCGGCATCTGATGAAGTGCCTGTGCGTTGCGTTAGTTCCCTAGACGTCCATTCGTCTATGGTCCCGGATGAGAGGTGTACCCACCTGAGTCTGGTGGACCTTTCCATCTTGCTGAGTCTGCTCAGCACTTGTTCTCAATCAATGCCTATCCTTTCCGTTGGCGACAGTTGTATAGTGTTAACCATACATGTGGTAATCAGGGGAATTGTGCTTTTTTGTAACTGTGTTGTTCCTTCTTGCATATGGATCATGTTGTTGATCCTACTCTTTGTAATAGAAGTATATTTTAACTCAATTATTTTTTGCCTCGCATGAAACGCCATTTTTTGTCTTTCCTATATGTACTTATTGAAGGGGGTTGAGGCCTTTCTTTATTTCGTTTTGCGAGTGCTTGATGGGTCTGCGGTTGGGGTGCTGTTGGGGTAGTATATACATTTTTTTATAAATATTAAGGTCTGTAGGAGTCCCATCACCTGCTAGCCAGCCTCTATGTGCAAGTCAGTCAGACTTAGAAAATCTGCCAAGACCGTTGCTCTTCCCTATTAAAATGTCGGCAAGCTTACTCATCTCCCCCATCTCCACACTCCTCTTGTTCCTCAGTAACATGCATGACACTCAGTCAAGCGAAGCCATTATGTTTGTGTACCTCGTGACCCTCATACTTCAGGAAGGCCAGATGGGAAATAAATGTATCTGCCCCTCACTTATCTTAAAAGAAAAAAACAAAAAACACAAACGGGAAATTTTAGGTGTTCTTTTTAAATCCCTTCTGCTGATATAGTGATATTAAACTCAGGAGTTAAATCTTAAAAATGCATTCAAACTATTAACAACAATGTATCTTATTTGTGCATCACTCAGCTGTAGGTCCTCAAATCATCTCTGAATTGGTGCTGACACTGTCCTTTCTTCTGGAGGATGGCTACTTTGTTCCCCATAGTCCCTGTGTGTGTTGTAAAGTAGGGCTAAATCAACTAATCGATAATGAGCAGGGAGAAGAATGGAGGAGCAGAGCTGTGGTGGGGGATTCAACTGCTCTGCTCCTCCGTTCTCCTCCCTGCTGGTGCTGTTTGCAGCGGTCTGTGTCCCTTTCAATCACTGCTGCTCTCCCCACCTGTATCGGCAGAGGCAGCAGGGACACAGACCACTGCAGCAGGCAAAAGCAGGGAGAAGAGACTGCGGTGACTTTGCATTACCCCGTTCCTCCTCAGCCTGCACCCTGTCCCCCCCTCTTCTGCCGGTGTTCTATCAATCCCTCGGACTCATCCGAGGGATTGCTAGAACACTGGCGTCAAATCTCCCATCAGCGGCTGGAAAAAATAGCCAGCCTGCTATTAGATATTTTAAATTGCAATAGCAGGCTGGCTATTGCATCTGTCCACTGCCTGCTGTCAATCAGCAGAGGAGGACCTGAAGGAGAACTGATTGACAGGCAGTGGACAGGTGCAATAGCCAGCCTGCTATAGGCTATTGTAATTTAAAATAGCCAATAGGAGGCTGGCTATTGCTCCCAGCCACTGCATGTTGTATTGAATTTCAGCTGCCTAAGCAGACAGCTGTCATTCCCCAGTGAAGTGGAAAGGTGACACTAGGGGTAACATCACCTTAAAGAAAACCTGTCATCTCAAATGTGCTATCACATAAGGAGCTTGTAGTCCATCACGGGAGTGAGCTTGGAGCGGTGGCTACTTTACAACATACCAGGGACCATGCCCAGTGCTCCTTTTATCCATTACAGTCCATGCATGAACTATGCTGAAGACAAGTCTGGTTATTGCGGCAGGGGCTGTAATTGTTTACAGGGACCAGACCTAACCCTCAAATCAAATCATGGACTGAACTGTAATGGAAGAAAGGAACACCAAGCAAACTAACATGAATTGCCTAAAGCAGTGGTACCTAACAAGTCACCCGGCCCACTGTGCTCCGACCTATAGTTAGGGATAATAGAGGGCTTCAGAGCTAGAATAGCCAGTTGTCAGTGACAGCCACAGTCCAGAACTAAGCCTAGGTGCTGAAAATCAATTAGCTCCTGGGCTTCTGCTACCAAACGCTCTACAGAAGCACAGGCAGCAGGCAATGTCAACACAACACAGAACAATTACTTTATACTGTTTACATTGGCAGTGAAAAGAGATTGTTAAAATGTAGGCACGGGTAAAACTAAAGCAGCTCTGTCCAGCGTCTCCCTGCAG